GCGAAAAATATAGTTAAATGACATACGATATAACTGACATAAAGTTCCTCCCGGTGTAAGGGTTGTAAAACTTCGGATTACTTTCGGATCCCACGTGCAAAGCTAGCGGCGCATGGCGAGGATAGCCGATGTTATCCGAAGTCCAGCGTACTGGCTTGTTAGCTTGGCTGCTGTGTTTGCGACTGCTTACGACTTACGACTGGGAAACGTTTGACTAACGTGTCAAACCATGATTCGGTAGGATTCAGTGATTTCTACAAGGTAATCGCAGCCATTTTTGTAGTGAATTTTCACGAACTGTTTTTGGAACAAGCGTGGAATGTGTCAAGTGTTGTTTAATTAAAGTGCTTTCAGGTATTTGCAATATCTAGAAAGAATTTTATCGCAAAAAACGACCACTGAATTGGCGTGTTGTGCTACACGAAGCATGTCAACAATGTCGCTTCATGAACGATTGTTACAGAACCGATGCGATGTGAAACTGACCCACGGATTGTTACAGTGACAATATTTGAGCCCTTTAAGGAGGCTCTGGGTAGTTTTGGTCTGGTACACCTAGCCGCATTGAAACGGCTAAAACTTCGTCTTGAATAACTCGATCTGCAAGCACTTTTCACACAATGTCAGGAAAGGATTAAAGGTTTCAAAAATGACAAATCAGTTTAAAGCGGCCTTTTCATTATGACGTAATGATGACATAGAAATCGACTAAACTTTTAAAGCGACTTGCACCCGTCGATAGTATTCAYCAGGGCACCCAACATATTGCAATGTGAAAAAAATGTATGAGAGCGTTTCCCAAATATTACGCGATGAATATTTTCAYGGACTTTATAAACTAATTACGATTTTGAGACGGCAATACCACAAAATATTGACGGCTAGTTGGGAGAAAATATATTCCGTATTGTGGCGGAGTCGCGTAGCGACGGAACTAGTGTGTTGTCATTGTGATCTAGTCTAAGGATACAGTCAGATCGATCGCTAATTGGTTCATTTGAATTTGGATATAGTAGACGCAACTTACAAGTGTCTGGCTTCAAGTATCTGAATTGGATACAGTGACAAAAAGAGACACCCCTACCTCCTTCGCACTCTGCTTTGATTCTTGTAATCTCAACACCTATCAAGTACAGAACACTTAACAGTGAGTATCAATAACGCTCCTTTTGTTCCGAATTATGCTGTTTCGCGTGGACAACCAGTCGCGCGCAGAGAGGACTGCTCGCCCTTTGATATTGGTATTGTATTTAGTGATGTTTTTAGTCATTCAGATGCCAGAAAGATGGAGTTTGTGGAGAACGTTTGGAGACCTCGTGGAGACCGCCGCGGAGAGAATCCTATAATCACTGGAGAGTGGAGGAAGATATCGTCGATTTAATCCAGATTGGCTTAAACAATATCCTTGGTAAGTCCACTCTAAATACCTTGATGGGGCATTCTTTCTAACATGTGTGTTACAGTAAAAACCCGCATAAAAGAACAAGTGGGTTAAGAACACCCAGCCTGAATTTGGGCATTTTAAGTACCATGTAAATAAGAACACAATCAGCCTGAAAAATTAAAAAGTGTTCTTAAAATAATAAGATCAATATTTATGTGCTAGACCTGTTTTGCAGCACAGTAATAGAGTTTAATTCAATTCAATTCAATTTTATTTTAAATTTATATAATTACAATAACATAATTAGAAATGACTAATCAGGGTTAATTTATTCTTCTACTGTTTTGATACAGTTATTACAGTCAAGATTTTTTTTAATAACATTTTTGAACTTACACATTGATATCATCTACTTGTGTTGGTAGTCTATATAGAAACACTGTTATATATATATTAGAAATATTTATTTTAGGAACACCTTAAGAACACCTTCAGGCTGATTTTGCAGTAAACACCCGTTAAATAAGAACAAAATCAGCCTCAACTCCAAAAAAAGTGTTCTTTTATGCGGGTTTTTACTGTATTTGGCAATCAGCGAGATAACCGAAAGCTCGACAAGTTAGTGAAATCCCCGTAAACAAATTAGACAACCGCTCAGGCTCGCTTTCAAATTCACTGCCAAGAGAAGAAACAACCACACATGTATTTTCCAAACCTTGTAATTTGGTTCAAAAGAAAGTAGGTTTCTTTGCATATATCATTATCAATATATATTATATATATATCATCTATAATATTATTATTCAGACGCTAAAAATTCTAATTCTGTTTTAATTTCGTTGTCAAATAGATTTTGGATAATGCTTGGATATATAGAAACTTCATGGATCCCACTTACTAGATTTAATAAACCACCAAATGGTGAGTACAACTTTTCATATATTTACTATATGAGTCTGGTCCTTTTCGAGGGTGGAACTAGTCAGCCCAGATCCTGGATCCACCCCTGACACAAGCACTTTTTCACTGCTGTCGTTTTGAACAGAAAATTTTTTTTCTTTCAAAAACGTACCAAGAAAACTTGAAATAGATGTAAAATGTATATGTTTCCGAAAHCAACTTGGACTGAGGACGACTTGGAGCTTCCAAATTTTCAAATATCATCTCAAATTACTACTCCCTCCGGTTCAAAGCCTTCAAATACCATATCAAAGTCATCAAATGTCACGGCTCGTAACTCAGCTGCCTCTGTTTCTGTCAACGATGAATTAATGGGTGACAAAAAGCGAAAATCAAGTATTGTTGTTCTTGAGGATGATGAAATTGCTGGCATATAATTCCTCTGGCAGTATTCACAGCTCTAAGAGTTCCTCCACAGTAGTAGAAACTTCATCTCAGCGACAAGAAGGACGAGCACGTGCTCCCTGCCAACCTGTTGAATAATTCAACGTTAAACAACTGTCAAACAAAGAATGACTTTGTAAATCATTGTAAAAAGAGTAATTTTATGGATGTAAATTAAAGGTTTACAACTATGAATATTTGAAGCTCATTTGCTTAGTACAATTGTAAACCCTTTTTGAAATTCACTCGCTTTTGAAAGCACAACAACACTGCTGCTTTTTAGATAAATATTTTGAAACGAACATTTTTTTATTGAGAAAAACTTACCTTTTGTTAGCTTCCCTCATTTTTTTCCAGTGATAAACTTGAATTTTCATGAGTTTGATGAAGAATGTACAAAATGTAAACGAATTTGATTTCAACTTTGCTTGAATAAAATAATYTTTATTCAACACTARCTTGTTTCTTATTGGCTGACAAGAACAATGAGCTGTCAAAGCTGTCAAAATAAAATATTGTCGTCTCAAAAATATAAGAAACTATTTAGTGAATCGCGAACTATTATTTCCAGCGTGTCAACTTTATTCCTTCAAAATTCGGGACTTTAATTTAGTGGATTCAATATTTTTAGTAGCTAGAATATACGTACGGGTATAGACACTGTCCTTAATGAGTATGAATCACATTGTGACTTTCTTTCTAACGTTATGGATTTTTTGATATGAAGCTAAATGACCCCATTTGTTATCAAAAGCGATAGAAAATATCGTTGAAAGCGACATTAAAAAAATCGTCGAACGATTTTTTTCTAGGTGAAGTCACTAGAAGATGCATCTTTTATAAATATTCTACTTTAATTTCATATGCATTGAAGGGTTTTAAGGCAGTCGAATATAAATAAGTACGCTCACAACTATTTTCGCTCACGGCTGCTTGTTTATTATTCAAATTTGACTTCCGTGTTATTCCTTGTCGTGTGCTGTTASTTGTGAGCGTACTTATTTTATTTGACATAATAAAAAGGCCGCTTCAAACTAATTTATCATTTTTGAAACCTTTACTCCTTTCCTGACATTGTGTGAAAAGCTTTTACAGATGGAGTTATTCAAGACGAAGTTGTAGCCGTTTCAATGCAGCTAGGTGTGCCACACCAAAACTACCCAGAGCCTCCTTAAGGGATAACTGAGCTCCATAAGCAGAATATTAAGTGAATATTCTACATACACATGATTCAAAAATGCTGCTGTGTATCTATCAGCAGTAGACACGTACATGTTCTCATATTTTTAACAGATTGTGCTCTTTTCCGTTTGTTGCGTGACGGACGGCAACACAACAGTAATAATGTAATTAAGTCAGCTCGCTCAAGTCGTGGTCAAAATAACAGTTTCGAATAACTTGTGAATTTAAATTCTAAAACATGCATCTTTCTACAAATTTTTTCATAATTTTACGAATGGGGGAACTCTTTATTAGCCGAATAGTTGCTTGAAAGCTTAGAAAAGTCATTCAATCCAGCAATGGTCAGCTTCATTTGAGCTAGTGATCATCACGAGTTCACAGAGCGCCGAACGCCGGACACTTAAAAAATTTGAGACTCATTTTTGAGCAATCCTGGAATCGTATGGTAAAATAACACATACCTGATCCATATAGGTTGAGCAAAACGGGTTACAACAGCGAATATATTCTTGAAAATATGCTTTCTCGGCTGGTGGAATGATGGAGTTCCTTCTATTATAATTTCTTTAGTCCTGTAGGGAAACCAAGTATTTAATACCTTTACAAGATGTGCTTTCAGTTGGGTTCTCGGTTCTCTAATAATATTTCAAGAATTTCTATAATTCTTATCCAAAAATTTCTATAACTCAATTCCGAGAATACAGGTACTAGGTCAGCAAAACCTGAATTCCAAGAATTGAGTTGTTTAACTCGAAATGGAAGCCACAGGTAGCCCAAACCATTAACTCAAGGAAACGAATAATATATTTTAAGGTGGCTCGACTCTCGCTATAGACATAAGTGAACATAATTTTTCGTACACTTACTATACATAAACTAAGGTTTACAATTTAGAATTAATTTAGAGTTTTTCTTGAATCGAAATTGTGATGTCCTTGATTTTACATCACGCCAATTACCTCAAAATCCAGATCTAAAATTTGTAAGCGATTTATTAAACTTTGTAGACCAAATGTTTTTCCTATGATATGAGAAAATTTAAAGGAATTCTACGAGGCCGTTCTAGAGTAAAAACGGAACAATTATTCAATTCAGAATAAATTTATAAAGGTCGTTACTGTACTAACTCTACTAACTTATTTATGATACTGCATGGTTACTGAAAGAAAAGTGACAGTTTTTTTTGTTTTTTTGTTTTTTTGTTTCAATTAAAGCCGAGACGTGTTTCAGTGTTCTGCGAAAGTTCTGCGAATTTTTTTTGATCGCCGTTGAGACGACTTTGAGTAAACTAAAAAAATTTCTCTTTTAAATCAAAATTTTGACTTTTACGCTGCTGATACTGTTTCTCAAAATCTTTAATTCGTTATTTAAAATTCAACCCTGAATCTATTAGCTATATAAATTTCAAAGGTATCAAATCTTTTTAAGATTTCATAGAAAATTATTACAGTCCTAGGTTTGCTTCCTCTACTCGCAGTCGTTAGCTTTGTCAATGCACTTCCGTTTGTTTTTTGTTTTTTTCGTTAAGGCTTTAAAATCGCATACCTGAATGCTTTTCTCATAAGTTCCTCATGCGGAAAACGCAAATGAATAAGATTATAGTCATGCTGGTAAAAGAGTGATGATGTCTTGTTCAACACTGAGAGTCTTAAGACCTTCTTGGCGTTTATTTTATCTTATCTTTTTATTTTTATTTTTTTTTCGTTTAGATGAAGTGAAAAACATGGTTGAATAAAAAACAATTTTGTAAAAACATCACCTTTTACCAACATGACCATAGTTAAGCAATTCCAATTTTTCGCACAAGGCACCAGTGCGAAAAGCATGCAGGCATGCATATTTTWAAGCCTCAATAATATACGATCAGCAAACGAAACAACTCAGAGTAGAGAATGCAAATATTGCAATGTTTAAAAAAAAAATATTTAGGAACTTTAGAAAGCCTCAATTCCTTTATAATTTATTTATAAAAAAACTAAGATATAACGCGCACTCTGATTGGTCGATTACCGTTTTATATGACTCAACATAGATCGTGAGGTAATGACGTCAGCAACGCAAGCGATGTTTTGTTTGTTTCTTTGTTTCTGAAAAAAAAAAATGGAGGACTTTAAAGACTTTTTTTATTTCAATTTTGACATTTTACCTGAAGAAACAAACCCAAAGGAAACTAAAGAAAAGGAGGAGACAAAAGCAGACAGCCCCCAGCTGCAGCAAGATCGTTTTGTTTCTCTATCTACTAGTGAGAAAAACAAACTTCTTGAAAGGTGAACATCATGTAAATGACAGGGAAGATAAAGAGTATTTATAAGTTGTTTATTTTTGACAACCAAATTTACACATTTATACGCATTCAGCACAAATGAAAGCTTTATTTTCATCCACTGACAAGTTACTCAAAAAAAAACATTTCTACATAAAAAGTGAACATAATTAAGCTTAATTGATTTAATCAGATATGATTTAATTAAATATCAAATATCAAATATGATTAAACTTCAAACTAACAGAACCAAGACATTCCAATCTTTTTTCTTCTTTTTTGAAGAGTGGAGTTATCAGAAAACTGAATTGGAAGAAATCACGGAAGCTCAGCTCGATGAGAGTCTCAATGACTTTTACTACGAAATTCGTACTAAAAAAGGCGAAGARTACTGTCCTCTCTCATTTCCTTTCGAAATGCGATTGAAAGGTATTTAAATAACCCATCTTTATTATAAACGAGTGCTGAAACTTAAGAGGGGATGTCAGCAAAAATCGAACAATTTTGAAATTTTGTGGCAACGGTCGAAAAATCGATTTCGCTCATATTCTAACCTTAGGTAGACCTTATTCTAACTAGAACCACTATGTAGTTTGTTTTTAAAAATATCGCTTATTTTACGAGAAA